TAGGTGGAGCTCCCTATGGGGCCACGAAACGCTGTCCTGGGTGGGGGAGACGCATGCGAACACCCCCACTTGGGCCTTCGGTGGAGCTCCCTATGGGGCCACGAAACGCTGTCCTGGTGGGGGAGACGCATGCGAACACCCTTATTGGGACCTTCGGTGGAGCTCCCGATGGGGCCACGAAACGCTGTCCTGGGTGGGGGAGACGCATGCGAACACCCCTACTGGGACCTTCGGTGGAGCTCCCTATGGGGCCACGAAGCGCTGTCCTGCGTGGGGGAGACGCATGCGAACACCCCTATTGGGACCTTCGGTGGAGCTCCCTACGGGGCCACGAAACAGTGTCCTGGGTGGGGGAGACGCATGCGAACACCCCCACTTGGGCCTTCGGTGGAGCTCCCTATGGGGCCACGAAACGCTGTCCTGGGCGGGGGAGACGCATGCGAACACCCCCAGTGGGACCTTCGGTGGAGCTCCCTATGGGGCCACGAAACGCTGTCCTGGGTGGGGGAGACGCATGCGAACACCCCTACTGGGACCTTCGGTGGAGCTCCCCATGGGGCCACGAAACGTTGTCCTGGGTGGGGGAGACGCATGCGAACACCCCTACTGGGACCTTAGGTGGAGCTCCCTATGGGGCCACGAAACGCTGTCCTGGGCGGGGGAGACGCATGCGAACGCCCCCAGTGGGACCTTCGGTGGAGCTCCCTATGGGGCCACGAAACGTGTGAGGGGTGTGACGACATGGGCGGTGGGGACGATGATGAAGACGATGATGAGGATGAGGATGTGGATGAGGATGATGCTGCAGATGATCATTCTGACGGAAGAGAGAAGAGGAGGGGGAGGAGGGAGGAGGGGGAGGAGGAAGGAGGAGAGGAACGCGGGGCACCGTCTCTTCAAAACGAGGACCCAACACCACAGGATGGTTGGGAAAAAAATATCCTGGCGAAGGACCCAACCATATGCAGTTGTGAGTATCGCAATTGGGAGCATCTTCTTCGGTGGCGCTCCCTATGGGGCCACGAACCGCATGAGGGGTGCGCCGAAATGTGGCGGGGTACACAACGCAAAGGATTACGATTGATCTGATTACGAGAGAAAGAACGCGGGTGAGTCAGAGCGCGAGGGAATCTGAGTATGAATGGGTCTGCGCGCGAGTGAATATATTTGCATGAATGCGATCATGGAACCGCCTAGTGTAAGTGTCGAGCATGCCTGTCCGAACACACGTGACACTGGGCGTGGCCGCCGCAGGCAGCTTCCGCGGGAACCCCGACGGCAGCGTCCGCACGTCGCGACGCCCATGTCGGCACGCCTCTTGCGAGGATCGCGCCCGCTTTCGGCTCTTCTTTTCCTTCCTCTTTGCCCGCGCACTCCAAAATCCAAGGCTGCGGGCGCAGCGCAGCGCGGAGTCCCCGCGACGCGCGCTGGTCGCCCCGGGCGGGGTCCCAGCGACGCGCGCGGGTCGTCCGCTGCGCGAAGCAGAGAGAGCTGACTAGCTAACTGGCTGGCTGATAGCGGGCCAGTCTCTGACCGCTGGGCAGAGCGACGACGGGCGAACGAGGCGCCGGGCCCCCCGCAGCACGGAGTTCCCGCGACGCGCGCTGGTCGCCCCGAGAGGGTCCCAGCGACGCGCGCGGGTCGTCCGCGGCGCGAGGCCAAACAATTAGTCGGGCAGTCGAGAGAAGGCGCGGCTCGGGGGAGACGCTCCTCAGGTCAGGCCTCGCGGATGAACTCGGTGAAGCCGAGCTCCCTGGCGAGGGCCGTCGCTTCCCTCCTGCACCGCTTCGTGCGCGCCGCAAACTGCTCCAGCTGCTTCCGCAAGCCCTGCGGCGGCCCTGCCAGGAAGAACTCGATGCGCGGCGCCCGCATGAGCAGGAGGTCCTCGTGGCGCGTGGCGCGCGAGAGCAGCACGTAGAGCTCCAGCCACCAGTCGTCGTCCTCCTTCTTGCCGTTCCCTACCTCGTGGCGGCCGCAATCCAGGATCACGCCTGGGCGACGTCGACCGAGGGAGCAGCGCGCCGGGCAGCCGACGGCCCAGGGCGAGAGTCCACAGGACCGAGAGATGGTCTGGCCGCGGACTGCTCGCGCCCCGGAGGTCTGGCCGCCCCCGGAGCGCCGTTCCCCCGCCCCGTCGCCTTCGCGCACGGTGCGCCCCTGGCACGCCACCGTGGTGATGACCCTGCCGTGCGAGACATGCGGGGGGTGTGCCGAAATGGGTGGGGGTGACGCATGCGGGCGGCGGCGCTGAGGCCTTCGGTGGAGCTCCCTATGGAGCCACGAAACGTGTGAGGGGTGTGCCGAAATGGGTGTGGGTGACGCATGCGGCCGCGGGCACTGGGGCCTTCGGTGGAGCTCCCTATGGAGCCACGAAACGTGTGAGGGGTGTGCCGAAATGGGTGTGGGGGACGCATGCGGCCGCGGGCACTGGGGCCTTCGGTGGAGCTCCCTATGGAGCCACGAAACGTGTGAGGGGTGTGCCGAAATGGGTGTGGGGGACGCATGCGGCCGCGGGCACTGGGGCCTTCGGTGGAGCTCCCTATGGAGCCACGAAACGTGTGAGGGGTGTGCCGAAATGGGTGTGGGGGACGCATGCGGCCGCGGGCACTGGGGCCTTCGGTGGAGCTCCCTATGGAGCCACGAAGCGTGTGAGGGGTGTGCCGAAATGACACCCCCAGTGGGACCTTCGGCGGAGCTCCCCATGGGGCCACGAAACGTTGTCCTGGGTGGGGGAGACGCATGCGAACACCCCTACTGGGACCTTAGGTGGAGCTCCCTATGGGGCCACGAAACGCTGTCCTGGGTGGGGGAGACGCATGCGAACACCCCCACTTGGGCCTTCGGTGGAGCTCCCTATGGGGCCACGAAACGCTGTCCTGGTGGGGGAGACGCATGCGAACACCCTTATTGGTCCCCCGATGGGGCCACGAAACGCTGTCCTGGGTGGGGGAGACGCATGCGAACACCCCTACTGGGACCTTCGGTGGAGCTCCCTATGGGGCCACGAAACGCTGTCCTGCGTGGGGGAGACGCATGCGAACACCCCTATTGGGACCTTCGGTGGAGCTCCCTATGGGGCCACGAAACGTGTCCTGGGTGGGGGAGACGCATGCGAACGCCCCCACTTGGGCCTTCGGTGGAGCTCCCTATGGGGCCACGAAACGCTGTCCTGGGTGGGGGAGACGCATGCGAACACCCCCAGTGGGACCTTCGGTGGAGCTCCCTATGGGGCCACGAAACGCTGTCCTGGGTGGGGGAGACGCATGCGAACACCCCTACTGGGACCTTCGGTGGAGCTCCCTATGTATGGGGCCACGAAACGCTGTCCTGCGTGGGGGAGACGCATGCGAACACCCCTGTTGGGACCTTCAGTGGAGCTCCCTATGGGGCCACGAAACGCTGTCCTGGGTGGGGGAGACGCATGCGAACGCCCCCAGTGGGACCTTCGGTGGAGCTCCCTATGGGGCCACGAAACGTGTGAGGGGTGTGACGACATGGGCGGTGGGGACGATGATGAAGACGATGATGAGGATGAGGATGTGGATGAGGATGATGCTGCAGATGATCATTCTGACGGAAGAGAGAAGAGGAGGGGGAGGAGGGAGGAGGGGGAGGAGGAAGGAGGAGAGGAACGCGGGGCACCGTCTCTTCAAAACGAGGACCCAACACCACAGGATGGTTGGGGGAAAAAACGAAGAGAAAGCTTAGTACTCGCCGATTCAGCATCGAGCTCAGCCAAGAAAGGTTCACGAAGTCCAGGAGTTTGAAGTGCCAGCGCAACACGATCATGATCCCAGGCAATCTTCTTGGCAGAGCATACATGAGGTAAAGACAGTGCAATGTCCAGCTTAACGGGTGCATGATCAAGTAGGGCGCCAGACCCAGACGCCAACTGTAACTTTTTTGCAAGTCTAGTCATAGTGACGCATTTTGAAACATGCTTGCGGAGGCCAAGGGGTACCACAAGGTAGTCGATAAACGAAGTGCGATTCTTCTGGCCGTAGAACGTAGGATATACTTGGTGGAAGGTGCTGGGGACGCACAGGTGGTGTCGGTGAAGCACTTCACGAAAAGCTTTCGCAGCGTATCCCATTCGGGCCGTCGTGAATGGTCCAATGCATTGATACGGATCAGCTTGGTCCGCAGGGAAAGAATCGTTCAGGTCAGTGTAGAGCACGGGGGTGCAGCGGCACGGCAGAGATCCCAACGTGTCAGACAGCCACCGAGGTAGGCAGTCCACTGTGTTACGCCATGCCCCCGTTGCGCGTCCGACAGCCGTGGGTGGAAAGTAAATTGCAAATGCGGCGATATCAAAGTCCTTTCCAATCACTCTGATCATGCCACCACGGCCTTGCGCAGCAGCAGGAGGAGACGACACAACGTGTACCTTGCCACGCTGGAAAGCCTTCACATTGTACCCAGTCGAGACTCCGCACGAATTGTTAGTGAACGGGCCACGAACGTATCCGAAGTGAACAAACTGATGCGCCTCCTCCGACTGCGTCCATGTCGTAGTGTGTGGGGGTACCCGGAGTCGAGTGCCCACGAGCATGACCAGAGCGGTGGAGCGCAGCAGGGTGCTGATCTCATAGAGTCTGCGGGTCTGCATAAGGGAGCACGGGTTGTACCCGACAAAAGAGAGGTGCTTCATAATCTCAACCTGAGGAAACCAGCCAGGCGACTCGGCCCATCAGCGCCAGGCCCCTCCCAGGCCCATCAGGATCGATGTGATGTAGGAATGTGCGAGGTGCAGAAGAGGGCCCCAGACACCCCTCGATCTCCTGAAATGGGCTAGAAGGAGGAGGAGGAGGAGGAGGAGGAGGACGAGGAGGAGGGGACGGACAAGGAGAAGGAGGACGAGGAGGGAGGAGAAGGAGGTGGAGGAGGAAGAGGAGGAGGAGGAGGAGGAGAAGGACGAGGACGAGGAGGAGGAGGGGGAGGACGAGGGCAGCTCGAACCCAGAGGAGCGGGCCGGAAGGCGCCGCAGCCCGGCGGGGGGCCTCCGCGGTCTTGGGCGGGCCCGCCGCCCCGGGAGGCGGCTGTTGCTGCTGCTGCGGCGCGGCGGCGGCGGGGGCCGTGGCCCTGCGAGGCACACGGGCGCGCGGGCAGGACGCCCGTGGGCGAAGAGCACACTCGTGCCGCTGGCGGCGAGGCAGGGGTCGTCTGCGCCAGCGGAACGGGGGCACCGCTGTATCGGGTCGGGCGAAAGGGGGGGGGGTGAAAATCAGCTCACGTCGCTGATGTACCTGGCGCCTCCCGGCGCCGGAGGCGACTATGTATCGAGGAATGGGCCCCTCGGCGGGGCCGAAACCAGCTGCACGCAGCAAATGTCGTAACCCCCCCTTTCCCAATCCCCCCCTTTCGTCCGGCCCGACTGTAGCGAGGTGGCCAGCATGCAAGAGCGGGAACAGAGGACAGGGCGGGCAGCCGCAGAGGGGGAGAGGGGCGAGGGCTACTCAGGGGCGGACCGGTCGCGTCCCTGTGTGAGCTGGCGCGGCTGGCCCCGCCAGCGGGGACTGTAGCAGCAGCCGTGGGTGAAGAGCACACGCCCGGTGGCAACTCGCGGGAGCCTCCCATGCCAGTCCTGGCTCCTGCGAACATGTGCTGGCCGACGCTCATCGGCACCAATCGACGCTACACCGACGCTAATTCGACGCTCACCGACGCTACATCGGCGCTGTCTCATCGACCACCAAGCGCGAGCGCACGCTAATGTATTCTACCATGTGGATTTCGAAAACACACATGGCTCCCATGATGTGGTACCGAACATAGGCGCATACGCAACCTCGCTGGCCGGGCCCCTGGGCTGGGACCACGCGGACAAGGCGCGTTTTGTTCACGGATGCCCCCCGCGCGGAGCGTATCCGCGCGACCGCGCATCCGCGGGAACGCGCTCCGGAAGCTAGACCGCAAGGGCGCGGATACGGATAGACTCGCCGCTCGTGAGGCACGGGAGGCAAGCGGTGAGGGACGGCAGGGGCCGAGCATGGTAAGGCTTCGGTTTGCGCACACACGCTCCCCCCAGGTAGTCCTGGCTGGACTCAACAGGCCCCCACGAGTACAGTCTGGGCGTTGACCTAAGGAACCCTAAATTAAGGAACGGGGCCCCTTTCTCCCATAAGTCGAACTTCGATTTCCCATGGAAAACTTCAGGAAAACAGAAGGCAAACTGTCGAACAATCAAGGAACACCGAGTCCCTCCCCAACGAAAAGGGTTCCTTCTTCAGGCCCCCCCCCCCCCCAGTAGTCCCAGCTGGCCACAACAGGCGGCCCCCCGAGAAGTCCAGGGCGGTCTCAACGTCCTGGCGTCGCCTTCGGTGCGCCGCGCTTGGGGCGGGCCGCGCCCCGTACGCGGGTGTTGAGACCGCCCTGGACTTACTCTGCGGGTCCGCGGAGGCCAGGTCGGACTACGCGGGAGGCCTGTGCAGACCAGCTGGGACTCCCTGGGGCGGCCTCTCTGTGCGCAACCCGAAGGCTCACCAGCCAGGCCTGGCTTGTTGAATCCCACCAGCCCTTTGGGCGTGAGTGGTTTAGCGAGCTTTCTCTGTCCTCAACCCCCCAACCCCTCTTCTTCCCCTTCGGGGAGGGGTTTACCCCTCCCCCTACCCCCTCCCCCTGGGCCTGGAGAGGGCGGGCCGAGTGTACTCACGGGGGCCTTTTTCGACTCCTGCGAGGGCCAAAAAACGACGACCCTCACGAGGATTCTGGCCCCCAGGGGGGGGGGGGACCGTTTGGCGCCTCAGACCGTCTTTGAAGCAAAACACATTGATTTTACTAGGGTTTTGCCCCCATTTTGGGCTTCTGAGGGGGCAGCGCCCATCGTCCTTCATAGCAAAATCATTGATTTTACGAAGGTTTTGGGCTCATTTTGTCCTCCTCAGGGGGCAGCGCTCATTTGCGCTTCTGAGGAGGTCGCAAGAGGCCTCAAGATGGCCCCAAGAGGCCCCCAGGAGGCTCCCAAGAGGCCCCCAAGAGGCCCCCAAGCGGCCCCAGGAGGCCCCCAGAGGCCCCCAAGAGGCCCCCAAGAGGCCCCCAAGAGGCCCCACGAGGAGCCCCAAGAGGCCCCCAAGAGGCCCCCAAGAGGCCCCCAAGAGGCCCCCAAGAGGCCCCAAGAGGCTCCAAGAGGCCCCCAAGAGGCCCCACGAGGAGCCCGAACGACTCACACCAGGACGAGGGGCCCGAACGACTCACACCACGAAGAGCCCGAACGACTCACACCACAAGGAGGGGCCCGAACGACTCACACCAGGACGAGGCGCCCGAACGACTCACACCACGAGGAGCCCGAACGACTCACACCACGACGCGGGCCCGAACGACTCACACCACGAGGAGCCCGAACGAGTCACACCAGGACCCGAACGACTCACACCAGGACGAGGGGCCCGAACCACACCACGAGAAGCCCGAACGACTCACACCAGGACGAAGAGCCCGAACGACTCACACCACGAAGAGCCCGAACGACTCACACCAGGAAGAAGGGCCCGAACGACTCACACCAGGACGAGAAACCCCAAACGACTCAAATCACGAGGAGCGCTTTCTCTCCCTCCTCCTCCGCCTCGTCCTTCTCCCGCTCCCCCCACAAGGAGGATGTACAAGGAGGCGGGAGGAAGGAAGAACAGGGGAGATATGCGGGGCCTAGCGGACACACGCCTGAAAAAACACGACTGTCAGCATGCTTCGCAAGAGTTGCTGCTGTGAGATGGGCTGGTGGGGATACGCGAAGCGTAAAGAATTGCATATGTGTGCGGAACCTCGGGAGACAATATGGCTATTCCGAGCAATGCCCACACAGCGGCAGTGAGCTATGTTTTCCCTGGAGTAGATGCATCCACCTCAAACTCAGAACTCCAACCACGCTGAGCTTATGTAAATAGTTGGAACGACTGCAGTCGCAAAACAACTATTGCAAAGTTGGGGTTGCGGTGGAGCTCATGATTGGAAAATGCGTGCGATTGTCAAATGTGTCGCAACAAGAGCCTCAAGCGCAAGAGATGTTCCCATTCCCCATCCAGGCTGTGCTTACTTGGTGATCACCTGTTCTTAGGGACCCCAGAGAGCTCCAGCGGTCCCAGGAGCTCCACAAGGCATGCGGACGCCGACTACAAAGACCGAACATGTGACCTCGCCGACACTCGGCAACATCGACCTCGACGTCAGCGGCGACGTCGACGGCAACGACGACCCCCTCGACGGCCCCAGGACCGTGCGGTGACCCCAGACCTCCACTGACGCACCACGCTGTGTGGCCACCACACCGCCTGGGGGCCCCCGACGCAAAGACAGCGGCGACGGCGGGGCAGCGCGCCCCGGCATCTGGCCGGGCCGCGTCTGCTGTGCCAGCTGCTGCGCTGGCTGCTGCTGCCCTGGCTGCCCCAGCTGCTGCGGTGACTGCCCCAGTTGCCCCAGCTGCTGCGCTGGCTGCGACTGCCCCGGCTGCCCCAACTGCTGCGCGGACAGCCCTGGCTGCTGCTGCCCCAGCTGCCCTGGCTGCTGCCCTAGCTGCTGCTGCGACTGGCCCGGCTGCGCTGGCTGCGCTGGCTGCGCTGGCTGCCCCAGCTGCTGCCCTGGCTGCTGCTGCGGCTGGCCCGGCTGCGCCGGCTGCTGCTGCAGCGGCTGCGCTGGCTGCGCTGGCTGCTGCCCTAGCTGCTGCTTCTGCTGCTGCTGCTGCTGCTGCTGCAACTGCGCCTGCGACAAGGGCGCGGGGGCGGGGCGATGGAGGGGCGAGCAGGAGAAGGCAGGCACCGATGCATTCGAAGCTGTACAGTCGAAGCATGACCACAAGAACGTGGAGCAAGAGCACGAGGCATTACAGGGTCCGAGGCCCCGACACGCAAAACAGAAAGCACTCCGAGGCGAAGGGCCCCACGGCGAAGCACAGAGGGTGCCTCTTCAAACATCGGGTTGTTCTTTACCCTCGTGCCAGCAGCAACCGCCCTCGACGGAACATCCAACGAGGCAGGATAAATCAGTATCGAATCGGAAGGTCGGGCCGAGCTGGATCGGGCCGCGCAGGCTCAGAAGCGAGGTGAAGCCGACTACGCCCAGATTCACAACTACGCGCTGCTGAAATCGCGCAGCATCGGGGCGCCAAGAGATCGAAATTGAACCGGACCAAGCCGGGTGAACTCGACGTCGAATCGGAACGATCCAATCGAAACGGGTCCTGGCGGGGTAAGCGACTCTCATTGCAACGTGAAGCTGATAGCTTAAAGCGAAAACGCAGGGATCCTTGAGGCAAGTGAAGGAAGAACAAAAGCAGGTGCAGATGCAATGAAATAGGAAGCCTGTGATGCGCAGTGCCATGAAAAAAAATGCCATGAAATAGGGAAGGTTCGACGATGCTCGACCGTCAGAACCAGGGAACGACGACGATGACGACGACGAGGTGCGGCAGGTTTTGGAGGCCTGGAAATTGGCACCAACACCAACACAGGGAGGGTTCCTCCGCAGGGGAAAGATGATCCTCGATTTCGGTGTTGGTGGTACTGTTTCGGTCACCTGGGAAGCCAGAATATGACCGCCACCACCGAGATCGGGATCTTCTTCCCTCGGTGAAGGCACACCGCCGATGTTGGTGCTGGTGTCGACCTCCGGGCCTGCGAGGTCCTGCGACCGTGGCGCCCAACAGTCGAGGCGTATCGGTACTGGCTGCGCTCGGGCTGGCCTTCGGCCTGGGCGCCCGCGCCGGTGTCGCAGCCGCGCCGGCACGGCATGGACTTCTCACGGGCTGCCGACGTCTCAGGGCGTCGCAGGCAGACTCGACGCACAGACAGTCGCCGAGCGCGTTCCACTACTCGCAAAGAGCATACTCGCAAGCGCACGAAACACAGGGGGTTGCCTCGATGCAGTGGTTCGTGAATCCCCCGCGGCGGATCCGGGCCATTTGCGAGTAGTGACTTCGCGAGTAGTGGAACGCGCTCGTCTAGACAAGATGCAGAGTGGCACGCACGCGCTCAGCAACGATGGAGCCTGCATCATCTGTTGCTGCATCTGCAGCTGCTGCTGCTGCTGCAGGTGCTGCGCCTGCAGCGCCTGCATCTGCACCTTCGGAGGCCATGCGTCGACACGTGGTCGGCACGAGAGAGATCCCGACCACACACGGAGGAGGCGGACAGTGGTGACTACACCGAGGTTCTACAGAGAGATCTGGGTGGAACTCCCAGGCTGGTGAGCTGGCATTCGCAGGCCAACATCACTGCACACTGCGTCCAGCACAGACAACATCTGCGTCAAGTCTGCGCTGCAAAATCCGCAGCCCAAGCCCTTACGCATACATTGATAGGAGCCATGGTTCGCCCAAGGGTCCAGAAGGTCCAGCTTAGAACAACACAGCCGCGGTCGCCGATGCTGTGCAATGCTGATCCTGGCGAACACGGAACGAAATGAAATAAGGCCCCTATACGACCACCCTTCGGGTAATGATGAGGTTGGGGGGTGGGGGGGAAAGTACCAACTGTTGGCAAATGCGATGGGTGTGATGATGGAGATGCTGGTGCGACGAGGCGTGATGATGATATTGCGCTGATATGTACTGTCACTATCGTCCCAACGTTCGATCTCACTAGATTTCTAGATCGATCCCACGATCGCCCGGACATCATGTATCATACTTGATCGATACCTCTTTAGGTCTCACTATCGATTCTCACTATAGATATCACTACAGATCGCGCGTTCGATCTCTCGATCGATCTCACTATCGACCCCTCTAGAAATCTCACGATCGATCACACTATCAATCAAACAAGCGATGTCACAGTCCACCTCACTGTCGATCTCAATTTTGATCTCACGATCCATCCCACTCAATTCCATTCACTATCAACTTCACTAGCGATCTCATTATCAATTTCACTATCGACTTCACTATCGATACCAAGGCGGTACACCCCTGGCCACCGCCCGCCCACCGCCGACGGAACACCGACCAGACACCAACGGGACACTAACGGAACACAACAGAACACAACGGCGGGACACCCAGGGCCACAGCGCGACCACCTGGGGCGGGGGGGGCGGTCCACTGCATCCAAATCGCCCCAGCGACGGCGGGGTCGTTCCTCTCACGCGCGCACGCAGCTTCGCCTCGACCGCACGCACGACACGAACACGAAATCGAAACCGATTTCCCCGTGAAGGGGCTCTCGGTCCCACTGCGATCTCACCCACCAACCTCCGACGGTGCCCCCTCTGCCAGGTACCCGCCCAGGCATGCTGTGGTCAAAAATGCGAGTGCTGCTGCAAAGGAACATACGGGCTGGGACACCGCCGGCGCAACTTCTAGACTATGGCGGGCACATAGCTTTTTTGGTAAGCGCGCACAACTGCCTGCGACGAGTCTGGCAAATCCAACAAAGAACGTACTGGGAACCGGAGAGCTCAATTAATGCCATGGAGAAGCGGAGCCTCTGAAGATGAAGAGCAGGAGGACAGAGACGAGGGGCGACGCTCCAGTGGCCCCTCCTAGTGGCCTTCGGCCCATCCTGTCACGGAGGAAGAAGCAAAAGGAGGAGGAGAAAACACAGCGGAGGAGGGAAGGGATGAAGATCAGACGAAGCGGGAAGGGATGTCCGCATGGAGCTAGGAAGCGCGCGAAGTGTGCTGGAATTGGTGCGGCGCCGCCATGCCTGCCCAGGGGAGAAGGGAAGGGGGGGGTACAGTGGGCTGAAGGCGACGTCGAGAAGGAGACGCGTTTTGATGCTTGGGGAGTGCAGTAAAGAGGACAAGACACGATGCGATCCCGCTCCTCATGCTTCCTCCGTTCCCTTGGGCTTAGGAAGCGTGTGCGTTGTGCTGAACTTGGTGTGGCGCCACCATGCGGGCCTGGGGGAGGAGGGAAGGGGGGAACACGACGGGAAGAGGGCGACGCCCAGGAGACGCGTTTGGATGCCTGGGTGCTGCTGCGGAGAGGACGAGACACGAGAGGGCAAGAGGGGGCAGGGGGGGCACGGGAGAAGGCGTGCCTGGGCTGTGAGTCTGACATGCCGGCTCGGGTCTCTGCGGGAGCCTCTGGGCAGCCTCTTGGAGGAAGTCTTGAAGCGCCCTGGGGAGCCTTCCAGGGCCACTTTTGGGCCCCATGGGTCCTCTTGGGGAACCTTCAAGGGCCTGCTGGCGGTCTTGGAGGTCCTCTTGGGCCGGAGGCCTCGCCATGTGGGCCCGAACTCCCCCTGGGAGGTCCTCTTGGCCATCTTGGAGGTCCTCTTGGGCCAGAGGCCTCGGACCCGTCTTGGGAGGTCCTGAGTGTCTCCTGGGCAGTCTTGGGGCCCTCTTGGGCCGTCTTGGGGCCCTCTTGGGGAACTCTTGGGCCGTCTTGGGGACTTCTTGGGGACCTCTTGGGGACCTCTTGGACGCTGCGAAAGCAAACAACAATTGCCAAATGTTTCTCTTCGGGCGCCCTTGGAGGTCCTCTGGGAACTGTCTGGGGGCGCCTTGAGGGCCCCTTGGGCCGTCTTCGCGCCATCTGGGGCCGTTCGGAAACCATCTTGGCCCGTCTGTGACCTGTCTGGAACCATCCGGAAACTCTGGGGGGACTGGGAAAGCTCCTGGGAGGCCACGGGGACTGGGGAGGCCCCGGGTGGGGAGGGGAACATGGTGATATTCAGGTGCCCCTGGTGGTCTTCGGCCTGGGGGGGGGCCTGGGGCTAGGCTTCCGATGTATCCGCCACCCTGCCAATGGGCACGGAGTGGGCGTGGAGCCAGATCCCAAATCCCACCAGCCCTTTTGGCGTGAGTGGTTTAGGGAGCTCTCTCTGTTCTCAACCCCCCTTCTTCCCCTTCGGGGAGGGGTTTACCCCTCCCCCTACCCCCTCCCCTGGACCTGGAGAGGGCGGGCCGAGCGTTCTCAGGGGGGTCCATTTCGACTCCTGGGAGGGCCAAAAAACGACGACCCTCACGAGGATTCTGGCCCCCAGAGGGGGGGAGGGGGGGGGGAGTTTGGCGCCTCTACTCCTCTTCGAAGCAGAAATCATTGATGTTACGATGGTTTTGGCCCCATTTTGGCCTTCTCAGGGGGCCGCGCTCATCTTCCCTCATAGCAAAATCATTGACTTTACGAAGGTTTTGGCCTCATTTTGTCCTTCTCAGGGGGCAGCTCTCACTTGCGCTTCTGAGGAGGTCGCAAGAGGCCCCAAGATGGCCCCAAGAGGCCCCCAGGAGGCTCCCAAGATGCCTCCAAGAGGCCCCCCAGATGCCCCCAAGCGGCCCCAAGAGGCCCCCAAGAGGCCCCCAAGAGGCCCCCAAGAGGCCCCACGAGGCTCCAAGAGGCTCCCAAGAGGCCCCCAAGAGGCCCCCAAGAGGCCCCCAAGAGGCCCCCAAGAGGCCCCACGAGGCTCCAAGAGGCCCCCAAGAGGCCCCACGAGGAGCCCGAACGACTCACACCAGGACGAGGGGCCCGAACGACTCACACCACGAAGAGCCCGAACGACTCACACCACAAGGAGGGGCCCGAACGACTCACACCAGGACGAGGCGCCCGAACGACTCACACCACGAGGAGCCCGAAGGACTCACACCACGACGCGGGCCCCGAACGACTCACACCACGAGGAGCCCGAACGAGTCACACCAGGAGGAGGGGCCCGAACGACTCACACCAGGATGAGGGGCCCGAACAACTCACACCACGAGAAGCCCGAACGACTCACACCAGGACGAAGAGCCCGAACGACCCACACCACGAAGAGCCCGATCGACTCACACCAGGAAGAAGGGCCCGAACGACTAACACCAGGACGAGAAACCCCAAACGACTCAAATCACGAGGAGCGCTTTCTCTCCCTCCTCCTCCGCCTCGTCCTTCTCCCGCCCCCCTCACAAGGAGGATGTACAAGGAGGCGGGAGGAAGGAGGAACAGGGGAGATATGCGGGGCCAAGCGGACACACGCCTGAAAAACACTACTGTCGACATGTTTCGCGAGAGTTGCTGCTGTGAGATGGGCTGGTGGGGATACGCGAAGCGTAAAGAATTCTCAAACCTTGTTGGGCTTGTCGCGGTTCCCCTGCTCGCATGGGGCATCTTCTCGCATGACACATGGGGCCCAAATGGGGCCCCAGGACGGACCAAGAGGGCCACAAGAGGCCCCCAGAACTGTCAAAAAGGGCCCCGAGACGCCCAATAATCGTTCCGAGACGCCCAAGATGGCGCCGAGATGATCCAGGACCCGAACGTACATTTCGAGCCCTCGGCCAAAAGAAGCCTCCAGGAGGCCCCAAGAGGCCACCAAGAGGCGCCCAGGAGGCCTCAAGAGGCCCCGAGAGGCCCCCAGGAAGCCCCAAGAGGCCCCCAGGAGGCCCCCAGGAGGCTCCCAAGAGGCCCCCAGGAGGCCCCAAAACTTCTCCCCAGGCGCCCGAGAGTGCTCTTAAAAAGCCCCCAAGAAGCATCCATGATGACTCTGACCCACAGCCCAGGAGCGGTGGACGGATGGCCGAAGGCTATTCGATATAAAGCATAAAGCTGGACGTTCTTTAGCGTGCTCAGATTAACTGCTTGAGCGTGTTCAGGCCCGTCGCTGTGGACAGTCGTGTCTCGTCGCTGCGCACCTTCTTGGCGAAAGATGCTCCGTGTCTTCCCTGCAGTCTGTGCTCCCGCTCTCCCGCTCTCGCTGTGCCATCCACAGATGGGGCGGGGGCCTGAACACGGCCCCCTTGCGCAGAGCTGAAAACGGTACACGTCGGTCGGAAGAAGTAGGTAAAGACACGAAGTAGGAAGGCGGATAAAGTGGCTTGGGTCCAGGCCCCCCAGGCGAATAACAAAACACAGCAAAAGCGTGCCGATCCTTGAAGTGGGAAGGCGCTTGAAGTAGATTGGGATCTGGGAATTAAAAAAACACCTACTTCCAACGACCGGCGTGTACAACTAGCCTCTGACACTGGTCCGACGCCGGTGCGGAGCAGGCCTTGGAGACGGCGGCCCGTCTGCAGCGAGCTCCGACGATGGACAACGACAGCCCTGAAAACGCAAACAACAACAACAACAACAACAATTACTAGCACGTGGGGACACACCGTTCTCACCAGTGCCAGGGTTTTCATAGGAGGCGGGCAATACCCCCACTTTGTGGGGGGGCCGGTTCAAGCTCTACCAAATTTCCAAACGACTCTTCGCCACCACCCACACCCAGCTTCCCGCCCTATGACGTTCGGACACTTCACTTCGTGGCATGCGGACGACCGTGGCTACTATTCAGGGCCCCGCGGCCGACGACGACGGCGTGCGCGCGCGAAGAAAAAACGAATGTGTCCCGCATGGTATTATTTGACAGGGATGATGGCCCTGGCAGGTGCGCAACCGTTGTCGCAGAAGTTCGAAAAAGTTGCTCGCAAAAGCCCGTTTGACAGAAATGTTTAAAAAGTGTTGGTTTTCCTACGAATCCGCAAGAGCGCGCGGGATGAGATTTTGACATTTTTTTGTTGAAAAACCATTGGTTTTTTGATGTTTTTATGTTAAAATCGCTCCGAACACTAAGCTTTTGGAAGGATTTCGTCTTGCGCGCGCGAATGTCCACTTTACCTTATTTTTTGCAAGGGATTCTTGAAATTTGATTATATTAGAACAAGAAATGTCATTTTATAGTGTTTTTTGCAAGGGAAAGCGGGGGGGAACAAAACAACCGGATCTTGATCACATCGAATTACCTGAGGCTTCCTCACGAAAATGATGAAAATGTAGCTGCGGCCTAGGCGGCGCAGGGGGGCCGTGCACCAGGGGTCCCAACAATAATTATTCTTTAGAATTAATAATGTTCAACAACAACAACAACAACACCACCACCACCACCAACAACAACAACAACAACGACAACGACAACGACAACGACAACAACAACAACAACATCGAAAACAACAACAACAACAACAACAACAACAACAACAACAACACCAACAACAACAACAACAACCATAGCAACAACAACCACAACAACCACAACAACCACAACAACAACAACCACAACAACAACAACAGGCAAGGGTTGTTTAAGAGCGCTCAGGCACAAAACCGACTCCCGACACGCCGAGCTGAAGGTGGCAACCAACAGAAACAAGCACAACAAGCAGCACCATCGAGCGTGAGCAACGCTCCACGTGAGAGTGTTTGAGAGGCGCCCGAAGTCTGGGTGGTCGTCGCTCACAGAAGCGCCCAGACGTCCTCGCCGGCCACGGCCGCCGCCGCCCGGGGACAGAGACCGGAACAACCACACGCTGCACAAGCAAAAGTCCAAAAGTCCGGAGGTCCGCACCCTCCTCCTCCTCCTCCTCCTCCTCCTCCTCCTCCTCCTCCCCCGGGGGGGCGGCGCCAGAGGCGCCGCCGGGTGGGCCCAACGCCGACCCGAGATGTCCGCGAGGAGCTCCGAAAGTGCAGGTGCACGCCGCTTGTCGGGAGCGCTCAAAGAGTCAGCGGGCGAAGAACGGTACAAAAGAAACTTGTTCGCTTTCGGGGGCGCCTGTCCCTGGGCGGCTGGAAAGTTTATACCCCTACGGTGCCACCGTAAGGGTATAAACTTTCCAGCCGCCCTGGGACAGGCGCCCCCGACAGCGGAGACGTTTCTTTTGTACCGTTCTTCGCCCGTGAAATAAGAGGGGCGTCCAAGAGGTGGGTTCGCCAACCGTGGCCCGAGGCACGCCTGCGGCGAAGGGGGGGGTCGGGAGACGGAAGAGGAGGGGCCACGAGAGCCGGGAGATTCCATGGCCCTCGCCATGATATCCACCCCCCACTGGTCATCACCCTCCTCCTGGCCGCCCCCGATGTAGGCGTACAACCATCGTGCTGCCATAGAGAACGCTGGGTAATGGAACGAACGGGATGTCCTCGCCACGGCGAGTCTCGGCCGCGACTGGGTTCACTGAAGGAGCCCTGGGAAACACAACTAAATGCACACAAATACAAGGATCCCCTATAGTTTCTCATGTCTTCTGGATTGTCGTCTACCCCCCCCATTCTCATATTTTCCCATGCTTTCCTGGGGACCGACGACTGATTGTGTCGATGTCTCTCTTCCCCTCCTGGCTCACCGACCTCAATCTGAGGAACGGCCCGAAAATCGTGGTCCCTCCTGGGCCCTTCAGCGTCTTGGCTGTACGCCGTTTCTTGGAGGCCTGGAAATGGGCACCAACACCAACACAGGGGATTGCCTCCACAGGGGGAAGATGATCCTAGATTTCGGTGTTGGTGGCAATATTTCGGCCACCCTGGAAGCCAGAATACTACCACCATCACCGAGATCGGCATCGTCCTCCCTCGGTGGAGGCACGCCGCCGATCTTGGTGTTGGTGTCAACCTCTAGGCCTGCGAGTTTCTCCTCTTCGCACAGGGACGCCCAGGCGTCGCCGCTGGCCATGGCCGCTGCCCCCCCGCAGCACGGCGGGGCCGAGGCCGGCGCCGGGGAGAGGCCGCCGTACGCGGCGACGTAGGCCTGCACCTGCGGGGCGCGTCGCAAGCGCCAGCTCACGGGGGGGGCCTGCCTACCAGACAACCCCAACCCAACCCGAAGACTCGAATTTCGGGTTGGGGGGGGGGATAACGGATTCATACGTGTTTTTGTCCATGTTTCCCGACCCCCCCCCCCCCACTGGAAATGGAGGACAAATTGAGGCCTTCGGGTTGGGTTGGGGTGGTTTGGTGGGTGGTGAGGGGGGGCCCGGGGGGTCTGAACCTTTAAGTGGGCCCTGGAAACGGCAGGGCAAATTTTATGACCACCTCCGATGTACCTTTGGTGGGCCCTGGATGCGGCAGGGCCACTTGACGCTTTTCTGTTGCCGGTTCGAACGCAACGTGTTTTGCGGTTCCGTCGCCGTCTGTGTGCGGGTCCTGTTTCCAATTCCAATTCCAGAACCGTTGTTGCTGCCGTTTCCAGCACCGCATCCGTGTTTGGAAGACACTTTGCCAGAAGCGGGTAAAAATCTGGCCATGCCGTGCCAAGGGCCCACCAAGGTCTGAGCGGGAGGGGGGCCCAGAAGATCATTCCGCATGCGACGATGGACCCCTTGTTACCCACCAGCCCTGAAGGTCTTCGGCTGTCTCTGGCAGTCTTCTGGCAGTCTTCGGCGGTCTTCGGCCGTCCCTGACGGCCTTCGGCGGTTTTCTGTCGTTTCCGGCGGATTCCTGCGCTCTTTGCAGGGGCTGGAGTACGGTAGATTCGCGCGCCGTCGGCGTGCGCAAAGGCTCGTGACACCACGTCGATCGTTCAACCTGGAATCGATCGCGGCCCGGCTCGTTCAAGGCTGAATTCAGTCAGGTCCAGTAGGGTTACCGCGTCCCTCGGTGCTTCCAGGTCGCAGAATTCAACCTTCAACGCCTTTGCCGGCATCGCCGGCGTGTCACCGCAGCACGGACCTACCGGACCATGTGGGGCCTGCTCCAGGAACACGAACATACCGTAACGGACCTACCCTTCCGCCGACCTTGCACCAGCGACGAAAGACAACGGCCGCGTTGTCTACCGACGCATCCACCCTGGAAGTGCCTATATATATATATATATATATATATATATGTGTGTGTGTAACGGCGCAAAGCGTCTATAGACGCTTGTGGCTGCTAGAAGAAAGTAGACTCTGCCCTCCAAGTCTGCGCATCTCCGATTGAGCAAGCAGGCTCGGAGGACGCATCTAGGAAGGAAAACGAGCTAGGACAGGCTGGGTTCTCGCCTCTTCGAGCTTCCGACGCTCCAGGACGGCCGAAGAAGCCCCGAAGACTCCCCCGAAACAGCTCTAGAGGCTCGGAGGATGTACCATAGCCCGTGCAGTTGCGGACAAGAGTGAGGGGGCGGGCGAAGCGTGGGTCGCGGGGTGGGTCGCTGGTGGGTCGCAGGGTGGACGGCCCCAAGCGCTTTCGGAGCACCCTCGGGACTCCCAAGAAGCCCAAACCCTTCAAACAGCTCATGAAAATCAAGAAATTGCTCCTTGCCACTTTTCGCTTCCGAGATGTGCTTTTGAAGCCTCCGGGCTGGGCTGGCTGGGGGGAGGGCATTGCTTCGGGCGATGGCAGGACTGCGTTTAGTGGGACCTGGTTCAATAATCTGTACCGGGGCCCCCCCTGTTCCCATTCCACTCACCGGAATTGCCGTGACCCGAAAAGCACCAGCTATGGCAGACCTGGGTCAGTGACTCCGATCCATCTCTGGGGCTTCGGGGCCCAATCACTAACCGGCTCCCCTTAACCAGGGTCCTGGCTATACCCGATATTGCTGGTGCCGTGCACGCGTGCCGAAGTATGATGGTCGGGGCGGAAGGCGCCAATTCGGGGGTGAGCTCGAGTGAGCCTGGCTGGCTGGGGGAATGGGGGCGCGGTGCCGGTGCCGTGCGTGCGTGCCGAAAGAAAATGGTCGGGGCGCAAGGGGCGCGCTGGCTGGGGGAGAGGGGGAGCTGGGCTGGCTGTGGGGGAGGGTGGGCGCGGTGCTGGTGCCGTGCGTGCGTGCCGAAAAAAAACCTGTCGGGGCGGAAGGGCGCGCTGGCTGGGTGGCGAGGGGAAGAGGGGCTGGCTGGTGGGGGAGGGGCGCGGTGCCGGTGCCGTGCATGCGTGCCGAACTAAAACAGTCGGGGCGGAGGGGGCGCGCTGGATGGGGAGCGAGGGAGAGCTGGGCTGGCTGGGGGGGGAGCTGGGCTGGCTGGGGGCGAGGGGGGGGGTGGGCACGGTGCCGGTGTCGTGCGCGCGTGCCAATAATAGCACGGTCGAAGCTCTAGACACCCTATGCAAGAAAAAAACTCGGGGATCTCTGAGATCTGGCGGTTCTGAAGGCTTCACCGGGCGCCGCGGCCTTCTGAGAGCGTTCTGTAACGCTCTGAGATCGCTCTGAGCTCTGGTGTCCTAGCCCCACCAGAGGAGGAGGAGGAGGAGGAGGAGGAGGAGGAGGAGGAGGAGGAGGAGGGGAGGAGGAGGAGGAGGAGGAGGAGGGAGGAGGAGGAGGAGGAGGAGGAGGAGGAGGAGTCGGAGTTCTCTCGGATCGGCGCTCGGCCCCCGGGGCGTCGCCTGGGCCCCGCCCCCGGTGCGCTCTGCACGCCGGGGAGGGGAGTCCAGCGCCGATCCAGGGCATCCGGGCGGAGCTTCGAGAATACATGTTGACGGAATGGTCGATGTGGTCCTAACGTATTCCAAAGCGAATTCGGCGGTCCCGATCCCCAACACTGTGGGATTTCCGACTGGACGAAACAATTGGGGCACAATTCCGGGACATACAAGACGGTGCTGTGGGGCTCATCCTCGACAATGATGTGTCCACATAGTCCCCTGGGGGTACATCCTCGACTTCCCGCCTGTCCTATACAGCAGATCGGGGAGGAGACATCGCCTGCGATACCAGGCGCCGCGGCCGTTCCAGAGCGCTCCAGAACGCTCTGGAACGCCTAGGGAAATGCGTCTCTTTCCCAGGCCTGCCGTGCACCCTGTGCCGCCCAACGGCGGCAAGAGCTAGCGTGAGGACGCCATGCCCTCGCAAGGAGACCACCCTCCCACAGGAGCAGGAGGATCGGGGGCCTCTCCCACTCGGGTCGGGCATTGGCAGAACTGGGTTTAGTGTGCCCTGGTTTAGTGATCTGTACCAAGGACGCCCCCCCGTCCCATTCCACTAACAGGAATTGCCGTCACCCGAAAAAAGCACCAGCTACGGCAGACCTGGTTTAGTGATTCTGGCCAGTTTAGGGGCTCTAGGGGCCATACTACTAACTGGGCCCCCTTACCTGGGGTCCTGGCTATACCCGATTGGGAGAGAACAGGAACAACATGTAAGCGCAACGTGTCGGAGGTCCGCGCGGAGTCCTTTGATCGGCGGTGGCCGCCACTCCCTGGCGGGGCGCGCCAGGGGCGGCGCCCAGGAGCGCCCAGCGCAGATCCAAGACGTTCGCGCGGACCTCCGAACGGTCATGCTGAGCTCTGTGGCCCGGGCGCTCGAGAGCAACAGGGGCACACATTGCAGCAGGAAGCGTCTTGGTTATGAGCCCCTTCAGGGATCCAGCGCGAGGTTGACCTCGCGTGCTGTTCGAGCGCGGGACAGGAGGCGGGGGGACGAGACTGCACAGGCGTCCGACGCAGGGCGCAGGGGTGCCCGACGATCATGTGAAAGAATGGCACCAGCCCTCTGGGCGTAGGTGGCCCAGAGAGCTTCCTCTTCCAACCCCCTTCTTCCCCTTCCTGGAGGGTCTTACCCCTCCCTCTAGCCCCCCCCCCTGGACCTGGAGGGAGGGTGTTCGCGAGGCGTTGGGGCGTCCGAGGTGGACGCCCACCAAGAGGCGATGTTTGGGGCTCCCGAGGGGGGCCGTAATTAAGGCTCCCATCTTTTTTGATCAATCTCCTCCAAGATGGCCCCAAGAGCGCTCCCAAGGCTCCCAAGAGCGCCTCAAGAGGGCTCCAAGAGGGGCCCAGGAGGCCCCAAGAGGCGCCCAAGAGGCCTCCGAGAGGCGCCCAAGAGACCCCCATGAGGCCCCAAGAGGCTCCTCGAGGCACCAAAGAGCGCTCCGAAAGGAGCCCGTCCTCTGCGTGCTGCCCATTTCTCTGATCGAGGCACCTCCTCAGGGCTTCGTCTCTGGATGGGCTGGTGGGGTTTCGCGAAACGTCGAAGGATTCCGTTGTCTCGGCTGTAGCGACAGCCTCAGCTCGTGCGGGAGATATGACAATGACATGCAGACGGTCGAGAAGGAGAGAGAAAGAGAGAGAGGGAGACAAATACAGAGAAACCAAAGACATGAAGAAAGAACGAGAGAGAGATAGAGGCAGAGACCAAAGGGGGACATAGACAGAGAGAGAGAGAGAAAGAGACAGAGTTTCTCCTGCGCGACGCCAATCCTTCCACTGCCTCCAGTTCTGTGCACAGCGGGACTAAACGTCCGGTCGCCAGCGGCAGGGTCCGAGTGTCTGCACGCGGTGCGCACAAGGGGGTGTCCTCGAGGGGGGGGCCTTCCAATAAGGCAGCCAGGTGGCTTCGTGGAAACCATCCCGGCTTCTGAGACGCATCCTTAGAAGCATCCTGGCCTCCAAGGAGGCTCCTGCCTTCTGAAAAAAAGCCCCCAGACGTTCTGAGTTCGATCACGACGCGGACCCCCAAAAATCTGGACGTCTGCCACGACCGCCCCCCTCGCGCCGCCCGCCCCCCCCCTCTATGGTCAGGTCGGGCATGTCCTCCCACAGGCGGATTTTGGAGGAAGACTGAAAAACAATCAAAAATGACACAGAGAATTAACAACAATAGTCGGAAAATCGTCCACAGACTAGTTGTTCAAAACTAGTTTTGAACATTCTCCCCGTAGAGGGACTTTTCCGACTTAACTCTATGGCGCCCGAAATGGGAACAGAAAACATGGGCACGGTGCCCAGCAAAAGGTGCTGTCCAAAAACGACAGCGGCCGCTGTTGGGCAGGCGGAGGTCACCTGTCTCAGATGGGCCAAATACCGCGGCGAGGCCGACAGCAAGTCCTGGATAATTGGCAAGAAAT